AAAAAAAAAAAAAAAAAAAAGAAAAAGCAAGAAGATTTCAACTCACATGAGAAAGACAAGATGCTAGCTAGCATTAAAATGATGCAAAAGTTAAAATCATCTGACAAAGAATTTAAAGCAGCTATAATACAAATGTTCCAATAAGCAATTCTGAATGCTCCTGAGACAAACAGAAAAATGCAAAGTCTCAGCAAAGAAATAGAAGATATGAACAACAAAATGAAAATTTTAGAACTGAAAAATGCAGTTATGTGCTGTATAACAATGTTTCTATCAACAACGGACTGCATATACAACGAGGATCCTGTAAGATTATAATGGAGCTGAAAAATTCCTATCACCTAGTGACATCATAGTCATTGTGACATACCACGATTACTTAATTTTTAAATAAATTTAGTGTAGCCTAAATGTACAGCATTTATAAAGTCTACAGTAATGTACAGCAATATCCTAAGTTTTCACATTTACCACTTAGTGACAACCAGAGCAACTTCTAGTCCTGTAAGCTCCATTAACGTTAAGAGCCCTTTACAAATTGTACTATTTAAAAAAATTTTTTTAGGCCGGGTGCAGTGGCTTACGCCTGTAATCCCAGCACTTTGGGAGGCAGAGGCGGGCAGATCACAAGGTTAAGAGATCGAGACTACCCTGGCTAACACGGTGAAACTCCGTCTCTACTAAAAATTCAAAAAATTAGCCGGGTGTGGTGGTGGGTGCCTGTAGTCCTGCTACTGCGAAGGCTGAGGCAGGAGAATGGAACCCGGCAGGCAGAGCCTGCAGTGAGCCAAGATCTCGCCACTGCACTCCAGTCTGGGCGACAGACTCAGTCTCAAAAAAAAAAAAAAAAAAAAATTTAAATGAAAATCTCCAATTGTTTATTTCCTGAAGCTAAAAAATCTTTATATCATATTTTTTACTGTACCTTTTCTATGTTTAGCTATGTCTAGATACACAAATACTTACCATTATGTTACAATCAACTACAGTACAGTAGCATGCTGTACTGGCTTGTAGCCCAGGAATGATAGGCTATACACCATTTGGCATAGGTGTGTAGAAGTCTATACCACCTAGGTTTGTATAAGTATGCTCTAAGATGTTTGCACAGTGATGAAATCACTCAACAATGCATTTCTCAGAATGTATCCTCATTGTTAATACATGGCTGTAACTGAAATTTTAAAATCATAGAAATAAAATTCAATAACAGAAATTATCCAATCTGAACAACAGAGAGAAAAAAAGTTTTAAAAAAACTGAACTGGCCAGGTGTGGAGGCTCACGCCTGTAATCCCAGCAGTTTGGGAGGCCGAAGCAGGCATATCACGAGGTCAAGAAATTGAGGCCACCCTGGCCGACATGGTGAAACCTTATTTGTACTAAAAATACAAAACTTAGCTGGGTGTGGTGACGTGTGCCTGTAGTCCCAGCTACTTGGGAGGCTGAAGCAGGAGAATCACTTGAACCTGGGAGGCAGAGGTTGCAGCGAGCCAAGATCGCGCCACTGCACTCCAGCCTGGCAACAAAGCGAGACTCCGTCTCAAAAACAAACAAACACACAAACAAAAACTGAACAAAACTTCAAGGAATTATGAGATAATAACAAAAATTATATATTCATATATTTGAAGTTCCAGAAGGAGAGGAGATAGGGTATAGTGCTGAGAAAATAAAAATATTAAAAAAAATTATGGCTGATCACTACCCAAGTTTGGTGAAACACATAAACCTACATATTCAAGAAGCTCAGTAAACCCCAAATATATGAATAAAGCCAAAGAAATACATATCCAGTTACAATATAATCAAACTGCTGAAGACCAACAACAGAAAAAAACACTGACAGCTACCAGAGAAATAAGCACTATTTATATAGATGAACAATGATTCAATTGACTGCCGATTTTTCATCAGACACCATGGAGGCCAAAAGGAAGTGAACAACATTTTCAAGTGCTGAAAGAAAACAACTAATTTTCTTATTTATTTTTTGAGACAGGTTCTCACTTTGTTGCCCAGGCTGGAGTGCAGTGGCATGAACACAGTTCATTGCAGCCTTATCCTCCTGGGCTCAAGCGATACTCGTGCCTTAGCCCCTCAAGTAGCTGGGACTGTAGGCATGCGCCACCACACCTGGCTAATTTTTGTATTTTTTGTAGAGACGGGGTTTTGCCACATTGCCCAGGCTGGTCTTGAACTCCTGAGCTCAACTGATCTGCCTGCCTTAGCCTCCCAAAGTGCTGGAATTACAGGTGTGAGCCACTGCACCTGGCCTGAAAATAACTAATTTTCTATATCCAGCAAAACATCCTTTAGGAATGAAGGTAAGATAGAGACATTCTCAGATGATGAGAAACTGATTATTTCAAAAAAAAAAAAAAAAAAAAAGGCTAGGCGTAGTGGCTCACGCCTGTAACCCCAACACTTTGGGAGGCCAAGGTGGGTTTATTAAAATATATTTTTCGGCTAAGAACAAAAACCTCATTGTTTAATGAGGTTTTCAATGTATGCAGAAGTAATAAAAGGCAAGTAGGATGTAAAGGGAGAAGAGTAAAGTGACCTAAATGGTGGTAAGGTTCCTCCTACATTCCAGCTGAGGTGGTAAAATATTGATTCTAAGTATACTGTGGAAAGTTAAGGATGTACATTGTCATCTCTAAAAAAACCAATTAAACTATACAAAGATATAGTCAAAATCATAATCAATTAAAATGGAAGACTAAAAAATGTTCAAATAACCCAAAAAGCAGAAGAAAAAGTTTCCCTTGAAAATCACAAAATGCTAAAACTCACCCGAGATGAGAAAGATAACCTGAATAGTCTTGTAATTATTTAAGAAACTGAATTTGTGGTTTAAAATCTTCCAAAATGGAAATCTCCAGTCTCAGATAGTTTTACTGGTAAATTCTACTAAGCATTTAAGGAAGAAATAACACCAGTTCTACACAATGTTTTCCAGAGAATCAAAGAGGAGGGAATACTTTCTAACTCATGAAACCAGCATTACCTTGATACAAAAACCAAACAGTAAAAAAAAAGGCTGGGCACGGTGGCTCACGCCTGTAATCACAGCACTTTGGGAGGCCAAGGTGGGCAGACCACTTGAGGTCAGGAGTTCAAGACCAGCCTGGCCAATATGGTGAAACCCCGTCTCTACTAAAAATACAAAAAGTAGCCAAGCGTGGTGGTACACAACTGTAATCCCAGCTACTTGGGAGGCTGAGGCAGGGGAATCACTTGAACCTGGAAGGCGGAGGTTGCACTGATCCGAGATTACGCACTACACTCTGGCCTAGGCAACAGAGTGAGACTCCGTCTCAAAAACAAAAACAGTACCATAAAGAAAATTACAGAATAACATTCCTCATGAACATAAATGTAAAAATCTTTAACAAAACAGCAAATTGATTACAGCAAAAAATCAAAAAGAATAATGCACCAGGCCCAAACTGGATTTATTTAAATGGGGAATTCAAGGCTGGTCCAATATTTAAAAAAATCAGCTAATGTAATCTACTATATTAATAGTCTAAAGAAAAAAAAAACAAAAGAACAAAATAAAAAAAGCAAAAAAAAAAAGAACAAAATCAAAACGAATCAAGAAAAAAAATCCCAACAAAACAGGAATAGAAGGGAACTTTTTCAACATGATAAAGCCTATCTTCAAAAACCTACAGCTAATACCATACTTAATGATGAAAGATCAAATATTTTCCCTTTAAGGTCAGTAAAAAGGTACGGATGTCCTCTCACCACTCCTATCCAACATAGTACTGAAAGGCCTAGTCAGTGCAATAAAGCGAGAGAACAAGAAATAAAAGGCATACAGATTGGAAAGGCAGAAATACTGCAGCTGACACGAATGTCCCTGTAGAAAATCTTGAGCAATCTACAAGAAATCTCCTAGAATAAGCAAGTTTAACAAAGTCATACAGTATAAAGTTAACATAAAGAACACATTTCTGGCTGGGTGCGGTGGCTCATGCCTGTAATCTTGGCACTTTGGGAGGGTGAGATGGGCGAATCACCTGAGGTCAGGAGTTTGAAACCAGCCTGGCCAACATGGTGAAACCAGTCTCTACTAAAAACACAAAAATTAGCCAGGATTGGTGATGGGCACCTCTAATCCCAGCTACTTGGGAGGCTAAGGAAGGAGAATCACTTGAACCCGGGAGGCAGAGGTTGCAGTGAGCTGAGACCACACCATTGCACTCCAGCCTGGGCGACAAGAGTGAAACACTATCTGAAAAAAACAACAAAAACAAACAAACAAAAAAACCCAAAAAGAAAAACAAAAAAAATATTTCTATATACTATCAATGTAAGACTGGAAACGATTAAATTTACAGATGTATAGAATATGTAGAATAAATTTCAGTGAACTAGCTACAAATCAGATAGATTCCCTTTAACTTGAAACATAGCTAGTTTAAAAGACATAGGTCTTTCTATTTCATTGACTAGTTAATTGGCTAGTTTACAGATTACCTGGAAAAAAGTTGTTGTCCCCTTAACTTGGTATAACTATTCTGCCACAAGGGTCCCTTCCTTCTTGGAGACAGTGCTAACAGTGCCATTTAAGACTCTGGGCCGTCTGATCTCTTTCACTTACTGCTGTGGACTCTCCTTAGGGGAATGTCGGGTTCTTCCTCAAGCAGCTCAGCACTTTGTAGGAGAGCATGGATCTCCGGGTGCAGATCCTCCATACTAGCTTCTCCTGAGGCCAGTGCTCTGCAGTGCAATACCAAGGCGACATCTCGATTATAGAAATGAAAATACCGGCATACTCTACTTGCTTCATGCACACAGCCATCATCCAGTAGGCGCCCAATCAAAAAGTTTAGTGACTCCTGCTCTTTCCAATCCAGTCTATTCTCGCATGTCTCTTTGGATGGAAGGCTGTTAAGTTCTAAGTATTTTGATGTGTTCAGAGCAGCCAACTTGGAGAAGGAAAACTCCCTGGCTAAACTATCAAAGGAAAGTTCACCACTAGTTGAGATCTGTCGAGAAAATTTGGGCTCTGTTTCCTCCTGATTTCTTCCAAGAGTGTGCTGGGTGATGCGGCAGAGCCAGATCTGCTTCTCCAGCTCCTCCAGCTTGTCCAAGGGCACTACGTCCTCCTGGGCAAGCCAGTGCCCTGCCAAGGTGAGCAGCAGATGGCGTTCCTCAATGCTGCTCCATCCAGCTGGGTGCTCACATTCCACATGGGCCTGAGTTGAGAAAAAGGACGAAGCTGCTTTGCTTGAAATTGAATGTTTCTTAAAATTCTCATGGCATTTTTTCCAGAAGTCAATTCTTGCTTGTTTTAGTGACCACTGTTCAATGTGTTTTAGAGTCTGCATTTCCTGTGTTATCTGTGAAATTTAACAAAGCAGATTTTAGCCTTTCTTGGATAAAGAAGTATCATAAATGCTCATGTTCCCTAAGTATATCATACTTGTTTGTTTGTTTGGTTTTTTTTTTTCTTTTAAGACAGGGTCTCGGTCTGTCACCCAGGCTGGTGATCACAGCACATTGCAGCCTCAACCTCCTGGACACAAGAGATCCTCCCACCTCAGCCTCCCAGGGAGCTGGGACCATAGGTGTGTGCCACCATGCCTGGCTAATTTTTAATTTTTTGTAGAGACAGGGTCTCCTTATGTTGCCCAGGCTGGTCTTAAACTCCCGGGCTCAAGCAATCCTCCTGCCTTGGCCTCCCAAAGTGCTGGGATTATAGGCATGAGCCACTGCACCTGGCGTTATCATACTTGTTAAAATCAAATCAAATCAGCGAACAGAGATTTGGCTACAGATGACCCTGGATATTTTATCTGGAAAGTTATGGTATGAAAAACAATTCTTGATTGATCTCATGGAATGGGGTTTAAGTGGAATCCCCCTTGTATTTAATTCCATTCAAAGGAAAATAGTTGTAGCATATCCTACAAACTAATGTTGCATTTGCAGTACACATTTCTCAATAATGGGCATTGTAGGCTCATCCATTTCTGAAAGTAATGTGTGTGTCAAAAGTAAAAAAAGCCTTATCTCCTATAAATTATATATCTCATTTGATTTACTGGTTAATGCTGATTTTAAAAGTTAAGATTTTAAATAACTTAAAAGACCAATGATACCTCTTTAATAACCAAGTTGTCCACAGGTAACTCAGCTAATTCTGCTACCCTCCTGGCCAAAGCGAACTGTCCGTCTGTCTGCAGTCTTTCCAAAATAGATTTACATTCATGCTGAAAATTCTCAATGCTGTAGCAGGTAATAATTATATGATTAATGGCTATGGATGTATCCTTCAAAATTTGGCAAAGGACATACAGCTTTTTCACATCTGGACCTGTGGCAAAGAAAAGAGGATATAAACATTTAGTCAATAAAATGCCACTACAGCATTTCAAGAGTAATGCAATATCGGGTGAAAATATACATGTTTAACATAGTAATGTGGTTAAAGGAAAAATAAAAAGCGAGTTTTCTGTTTTTTTGAGATGGAGTCTCACTGTCACCCAGGCTGGAATGCAGTGGTGTGATCTTGGCTCACGGCAACCTCCACCTCCTGGGTTCGAGGGATCCTCCTGCCTTGGCCTCCTGAGTAGTGGGGACTACAGGCGTGCACCACCACATCTGGCTAATTTTTGTACTTTTAGTAGAGATGGGATTTCACCATGTTGTCCAGGCTGCTCTCAACTGTGCCCGGCCAAAAAAAGCTATTTTTCTACTCTGGTTGACTAGCAGAGGAAGCCATAAGGTAGCTCCTGCGTACCAAAGACACCAAAAAAAAATGGTCCAGAAAAATTGTTAGTGGTAAAGTCTGACTGTACTTGCTTGTCATATAGTATGAAGTGTTAGAGATTAATGGCTGGGCGCAGTGGCTCATGCCTGTAATCCCAGCACTTTAGGAGGCAGAAGTGGGTGGATCACTTGAGGTCAGAAAAGACCAGCCTGACCAATACGGTGCAACCCTGTATATACTAAAAATACAAAAATAACCCACTGTGGTGGTACACGCCTGTAATCCCAGCTACATGAGAGGCTGAGGCAGGAGAATCACTTTAACCTGGGAGGCAGAGGTTGCAGTGAGCTGAGATGATGCCATTGTACTCCAGCCTGGGCAACAGAGTGACTCTGTCTCAAAAAAAAAAAAAAGGGTAGAGATTAGCACATGAACTCAATCTACACATCTGGCTTTATATACAGGGCAGAGGTTGGTGGCCTTCAATGTAGCAGAAACACAGTAACCTTGGGAAGATTTTGGTGATTCAGGCTAGTCTCTCTCTTTCTGGATTTATCTCCTACCGTGATCAAATTTGTCTGACTTAGTGGTCATTTGTTCATTCAATGCAGGAATCATGTGGATCAAGACAGAGAACTTGTAGGACAGTTAAATCTCCAGCTGGCCAGTAGCCTAGGCTCTAATGTGGCACACTGTATTCAGAATGAGCATCACTTGCACCTCTAAAATTTATCTACTTACCCCAGGGAGACCTAATTGAGCTCCTCCTGATATCCCTTGGAAATTATTAGTAACACTAAGAATTCTTCGCCAGGTGCAGTGGCTCACGCTTATAATCCCAGCACTTTGGGAGACCAAGGCAAGAGGGATCGCTTGAGGCCAGGAGTTCAAGACCAGCCTGTGCAACATGGTAAGACCTTTGTCTCTATTAAACAAAAACAAAGAATTCTCTGCCAACAATTTATGTGGCTGGGTTTGCGCCCTTTCCCAAACAGTCTAAGTAGAATCTATGTATGTCCTACCGTAAGAGAGGGGCATGAGAAACATTCCACAGGAGGCTATTTCCAATGCCACCTGCTGGGCAGCAGTCTGATTTAGGTAGTTCTGGGGACAGTGAGACATCCTGCACAATAACCACTAACACAGGCATGTTGAGTTTTGCTGGCATCATATAAAACACAGGTTTTTAAAGAACATATTCCCGGCTGGGCACAGTGGTTCATGCTTGTAATCCCAGCACTTTGGGAGGCCGAGGTGTGAGGAGTGCTTGAGCTCAGGAGCTTGGGACTAGCCTGGGCAACATGGCAAAACCCCATTTCTAATAAAAAATACAAAAATTAGCCAGGTGTGGTGGTGTGTGCCTGTAATCCCAGCTACTTAGGAGGTGGAGGTGGGAGGATCGCTTGAGCCTCGGAGGCAGAGGTTGCAGTGAGCTGAGGACGTGCTACTGCACTCCAGCTTGGGTAACAGAGCCAGACTCTGTCTCAAAAAAAAAAAAAGAACATATTCCTGTTCTCTAAGCAAATAAATGTTAAATATCCACACATAGTAACAGTTTCTAAAAATCAGAAAAATTATAGAATAAAAGTATTATAGTCATGTTTAACAATGTAGTAGATCCTTCTAATTATTCAAAGATAGATTATGGCAAACAACAGGAAATTCATTTTTTGAAAAAAATTATAATTACTACAGATCAATGAAAACACCTATATGTTAAAAGGACTTATTTTTGGTCTGCATAGTAACTGATAAGTACCATCTTACATCCATTACATTTCGGAAAAACCCCTTTTTCCTCTTAGTCATCAGATTCACAGCCTGCAACAACTGGTTCTGAGCTCAGGATTCTGTCAGTGTTCTGTGCAAATCTGAGCTCTCCAGTTGAATATCTGTGAGTTTAAATGTGAGAAAATAACCCTAGTAGCCAAACTGTCAGAATATAGTATAAAAGAACAAAATATCATTCAGTAAAAACTTGAAATTATCAAACAAGTGGAAAAGATAATAAAGCAATATTTGTTTGATTCAATCAGCAACAAGTTTAGAGACTGCCAATGTCTCAAGGAAACTAAAAAAAAAAAAAAAAAAAAGCACAATTTGTCTCTGAAACTTTAAAAATGAATTGTGCATTTCTGAAGTAGGGTTTATGACCCTGAGCAATGCTAAGGTTACTTGCCATAGAGAAGATAGTGACAGGGTGTGGGAGTTCAGTCAGGGTGGTGGGAAAAATTGTAGAGGAAAATTATAATAGATAGTTATAGAAAATATTATATAAGGACAATTATATATTAATATAAGAAAAATTATATAATAGTTATAGGAAATAAATAAACACAAACCTTCTTGGAAGGCCAGGCAGTCTGCACAGCTTCAGTGACAGATATGGCTGAAGGCAGCCTTTTTACCTTTAGTTGATAGCAAAAAAGCTAATAACAAGGGAATGTGGAGAAGTTTATCTAAATAGCTTGTTTACTCATGTGGTCCTAAGACCAACCATTCATCAACCGCAGATGCATAATTGCTCTCTACTATCGGCAATGTTAATTACCATCTAATGGTGTTTACTTGAAACCTTTGCCATTTAATCTGTACTAAATAAATGCGAACTTTGCCAGCTTATGAGGCAATGCTCCAGACTCAGAGCAGAGCCCCTTAGCCGGACTGACAGGCCAAGTATCTCAGTCAGTGTACGTCTTGGTCCATCACTAGGTCAGGGTCTGTGGGTTGGACCCCCACAACAGGGTAATGTAGAAGCCAGGCAGGAAGAAATGTGGCTATTTGGTAACTGCTTAGAATGAGATGATTGGATATTATTTATGTTTTATGCTGTTGTATTATTTCTTGAATATTTTAACCACAATTTAAAGTTCTCTGTAACTTCTTTACCCCCAGTTGCACACTGTAAGTTAATGTTACATGCATTTTAATTTCCTAACTACCCCTCTAAAGTATTTTCAAGATTAAGGAAGCTAACTTCTTAATAGCAACTTAACTGTAAAGACTGTCTTACCATCAGAGAAGAGATGCTCTCTTTCAACAAAGAGCTGTAAAAGCTTCCCCAGCTCATATGGGGTCTTACACTGCTGTAGCATAAGCTTCAAAAGGAAACACACCTGATCCTCCAGCCACATAGCAGGGATGACAGGGTGGACCTTTGTGGCTGCTGTGTTAAGCTATAAAAGAAAAAGAGAGGCTTAGGGAAAGGAGTTTCATGAGAATAGCAAATCAAAACCTCCAAATTTGGGAATCTCTAAGGAAGCTAAAATTCCCTCAAAAGCTATTGCCTGTCATAAAGCGGGGGTGCTTACTCAGTTCCTTTCCAAATGGCAGGAACTGGTAATGGGGCTCAGAGGACTGGCAAAAACAAGCCCTCCTCAGCAGCTTTGCACATTGTCTCTTTGTGGAAAGTTCTGGTATAGAGCTGCATGTGTGAAAAAGATGGGCAGGAGTCCTAAAGACTGAATGCTAACTACAGAGTTAATGTAAAATATTCCTACTTAGTGACTGTCAACTTAATAGCCCTCTGAGTTGCTGTGAAATTAATCAGATGTCTCACTTAGCAGCCTCTTTATTTTTATTTTATTTTTTTGAGACGGAGTCTTGCTCTGCTGCCCAGGCTGGAGTATAGTGGTGCAATCTTGGCTCACTGTAACCTCTGCCTCCTGGGTTCAAGTGATTCTCCTGCCTCAGCCTCCCGAGGAGCTGGGATTACAGGTGCACGCCACCACACCCGGCTGATATTTTTGTATTTTTAATAGAGACAGGGTTTCACCATGTTGGTCAGGCTGGTCTCGAACTCCTGACCTGATGATCCGCCTGCCTTGGCCTCCCAAAGTGCTGGGATTACAGGCATGAGCCACCATGCCTGGCCTAGTAGCTTCTTTAAAGAGGGATGTAGGCCTGCCCTTGAATCCAGAGGATTTTAAATTCACATTATAAAAACCACTTAGAAAGACTTGCCTAACATTACTTCGCTAGTTCTACCATTTTGCTTATAGTTTATTCTTGTTGGAGAATGGTCTCAGTTAAGAAGCTTGGATTTACATCATTTCAACTGAATGCTAAAAATATTAATAGGAAGATGAATTCAAGTGGCAGGCTGCATTTCTACAAGTAGGTGTGGCAAAAAATATCTTCTAGGATGCTGCAGGAAAAGGCTGATTTCAGAGGAGTGGTGCTTCCTTACCTGCTGCGGCTGCTGCTGTTGTTTTTCTTTCCTTTGTGTTGGTGAAAAACAGGGTCTCACTATGTTGCCCAGGCTGGTCAAACTCCTGGCCTCAAGCCATTCGCCCGCCTCTGCCTCCCTAAGTGCTGGGATTACAGGTATGATGACTGTGCTTGACAGATGCTTGTTTTGTGACTTCATTCCTGATTTTTACTTTGGCTCTTGCTTCGTATTATTTTTGGAAGACTAATATTTAGTTCTCAGTCACTACAGTTTTGTAGTTCACTCTAGACTTCGTACAACATAACCCCCAAAAATACTGGGCATTTTGGTGGAATAGAAACTTAACTGCTGGGTTTCAAAAAATGTATATATTAATAGGCACCAAAAGCTTATAATTCAGTACCTCTGTGCCTAGTGCTGAGTTAGGCCCTAGTCTTGGCTGAATACTTCCTGTGTACTTCTGAACATACTATAAAAGTCACTCTGAAGGTAAGTTTAATATGCAGGGCTTTTTGGCTGTGATGTAAGTTTTAGAAGACAATATTCCCTTCAATGGAATTCTCAAGACTGCCAAGATCTTAAATTAAGGAATGGTTTATAAAATCATATGTCACATTACTGCTATCTTCTTACCCCTACCTGGAATGAATTTCCTTCTCTACTCTCTCTCCTATGCCCTATGTGGTCCTCCCTGCACATTTCTCATCCTCCTCTCTTAAATTCCAATAGGACTTACCTACTGGTAAGTACAAAGATCATTTTGCTTTTGCAGTATCTCCCTTAATGCAAAGTGTTTAAGGGAATTATTATGAGAAAGAACACTGGTAGTCAGCTCACTAAATTGCTACTATTCCTGCTTAGACACTGTTCCTGAATGTTTTCTATAACCATTCTGACTGGATTTTGATGTTTAGAAGAACAAAAGTTCTATTCTTTTTTAAAAAATATTTCTCTTCTTGATTCTTTATCCTCCTGAGCATCCTTGTTAAAATTAGCTGGGATTAGGGCATTAGTCCTTAGTCTTTAATTACTTGTATACTTAACTCTGTGGTTCTAAGAAAAGGAACTAATGTCAGCAGATGATGGAACTAGTTAAGCTGGTCAGGCAAGAATAAGATACCTGGGAGGTATCCAACGAGCCATAGGAAGAAACAGACTAAGGAAATTAATGTGCCTATTTTCTGTGGTTTCAGAATCCTAGGCATATTCAAATAACTGATTTGGTATTTTCAAATATGTAACTTTCAAATCTTTATTACAGTGAAGACCAATGTGGCCGGACATGGTGGTTCATGTCTGTAATTCCAACACTTTGAGAGGCCAAGGCGGGAGGACTGCTTGAGGCAAGGAGTTCCAAACCAGCCTGGGCAACAAAGCAAGACTTCTTCCCTATAAAAACAATATTAAAAATGATTGGGTGCAGTGGCTCACACCTGTAATCCCAGCACTTCAGGAGGCTGAGGCAGGTGGATTACTTGAGGTCAGGAGTTCGAGACCAGCCTGACCAACATGGTGAAACCCCATCTCTACTAAAAACAAAAAATATTAGCTGGGTGTGGTGGTGGACACCTGTAATCCCAGCTACTCGGGAGGCTGAGGCAGGAGAATCGCTTGAACCTGGCAGGCAGAAGTTATAGTGAGCCGAGATCATGCCACCGTACTCCAGCCTGGGTGACAGAGCCAGACAGTGTCTCAAAAAAGAAAAAAAAAAAAAGATTAAAAATTAGCCATGCTACTTGGGAGGCTGAGGTAGGAGGATCCCTTGAGCCTAGAAGTTCGAGGCTGCAGTGAGCTGTGATCATAGCGGTGTGCCTGAGTAACTGAGTGAGACCAAGTCTTTAAACAAAAACAAAAAAAGGCCATGCATGCCAACCAAGTTCAGATCAGTAAGAAAGAGCACCATAATTCCAACTTACTATTTCAAGGCTCTCCTGAAACTCCAGAAGTTTAGCTTCAGCTTCTTTATAATTCTTGAAGAACATACACAGTTCATACATCTCCATCACCAATAGTAATGGGGAATCCTTTGACAAAGAGTTCGAAAAAAATTACAAAATTTTGAACTCAATATTTTTTCAATGAATAATGCCAAATAAGAGAATGTTAAATATGCTATTAATAAGGCAGGGCATGGTGGCTCATGCCTGTAATGCCAGCACTTTGGGAGGCTGAGGCAGTGGGATCGCCTGAGGCCAGGAGTTCGAGACCACTTTGGCCAACATGATGAAACCCCATCTCTACTTAAAATATAAAAAAGAGCCAGGCATGGTGATGCATGCCTGCAATCCCAGCTACTCCAGGGGCTGAGGCATGAGAATCACTTGAACCTGGGAGGTGGAGGTTGCAATGAGCTAAGACTGTGCCCCTGCATTCCATCCTGGGCGACAGAGTGAGACTCTGTCTCAATAAATAAATAAATAAATAAATAAATAAATAAAATTAGCCAAGTGTGGTGGCATGTGCCTATAGTCCCAGCTACAAGTGAGGGAGGATCACTTGAGACCTGGAGGTCGAAGCTGTAGCTATGATCACATCACCGCACTCCAGCCTGGGCAACAGAGCAAGATTCTGCCTCAAAAAAAAAAAAAAAAAAGGCTATTAGCAATAGCTTCACAGATTAAATCACGTATGTTAAAAAGAAAGTTAAATATATTTTCCTTTTGGAAAAATGATACTCACGCCAGTTACACCTACTCAACAATCCATTCTGTCTATTCTTTTTGAGACGGAGTTTCGTTCTTGTTACCCAGGCTGGAGTGCAATAGCGCGATCTCAGCTCACCGCAACCTCCACCTCCCAGGTTCAAGCCATGCCTCAGCCTCCGGAGTAGCTGGGATTACAGGCATGTGCCGCCACGCCCAGCTAATTTTGTATTTTTAGTAGAGACGAGGTTTCTCCATGTTGGTCAGGCTGGTCTCGAACTCTGGACCTCAGGTGATCCACCCGCCTCTGCCTCCCAAAATGCTGGGATTACAGGCGTGAGCCACTGTGCCTGGCATTCTCTGTCTATTCTATACTTGGCCCACTGCACACGGGCAGGAAGCATTCCACCAGATGGTGCTATGATACCTTTATTATTTTTTAAATTTATTATTTTTTTGAGACACAGCCTCATTCTGTCACCCAGGCTAGAGTGCAGTGGCATGATCACAGCTCACTCACTACAGCCTTGACCTCAGGTGATCCTCCCACCTCAGCTTCTAGAGTAGGTGGGACTAGAGGTACGCGCCGCCATGCCAGGCTAATTTTTGTATTTTTTGTAGAGATGGGGTTTGCCGTGTTGCCCAGGCTGATCTTGAACTCTTGGACTCAACTGATCCATCCACCTAGGCCTCCCAAAGTGCTGACATTACAGGTGTGCGCCAGCATACCCAGGCATAACATTTTAAACACACATACCTGGATAATTAGCTCTACTGACCTACCTTACCCATTGTTGCCTGTGGCACTGATTCATACATTTTATTGTTGTCAGTAGGAGTCG